AAGAACTATAGCCATTAGAGGAGAAGCCTGTTGTTGGATGTATCTTTCAAATGGAAAAACGTTATAAGACCACCAACACACGGATCGTCCTCCATGTCTATGGCTGTCAGATTAAGCAGTAAAGCTTATTCATACAAAGTGTGAGAGCAAGGATCTTCCAGCTGGTGTCCATGGGGAAAAAACAATATCAAACATATAGCAAAAATAGATCATAAAAAGCAAGAGGGTGAAGCTAGACTGTCTCACCACAGCTGTGATACGCTGTCAATTAATTGATGTCATAGAAACATTAAGAAAAAACGCTGGAAGGAGGCTCTGCCCAGCGCTTTTATGTCAGAAAAACACTGCAGCTGGAACCAGAACATACCACAATTTCATCCTGAGAGAAGAACCACCACACTTGTGAACACACCTTGTTGTATACATTTATTTTCTTCTCTTTAAATACATCATAAGTAGCTATGTTCATGGTACAGTGTCTCTGTGTGGCGGCAGGGTGCACACAGAGCCATGCCATATGAGAGGATTAGCCTTGTACAAAACCCTGAGAAGGGACATCCACTCTGGATTAGCCTATCATCCAGAAAGACACAAACCACACCTGCTCATCCAGCCCGGGGGGGCAGAGGTCAGCTGGCAGTAGGTCTGCTGGGTGGGGGGGGGGGGACCAGCATGTGCCGTCGTCTCTCCTGATCACTCCTTGTCTACACGGGGGGGGGGGGGGCTGAGCAGATCAGGATGTAAGCTTCAGAAGATGATTGACTTTTAAGGAGGAGCGGCATGAGTTAGCGTCGTGCCTGCTGCGCTCACATCTGCCTATGGCACTGCTGCATACGTACACACACACACACACACACACACACACACACACACACACACACACACACACACACACACACACACACACACACACACACACACACACACACACACACACACACACACACACACACACACACACACACACCACACACACACACACACACACACAGCAGAGGCAAGTCGCAATCAGAGGATCAGGAGGAGGTGGGTCAGTGGTTCAGTGGTAGCCCATCATCTCATCAGCGCACATTGGTACGTGCAGTACATAGCAATATCCTGACTGATTTCTCTGGCTTAAATCAGAAGTATCGCACAAAAAGAATGTATCACTTCAGTCCAAACCTTTTACATACATTAAGAAAGAAAACATTAAAAAACATCGTTCCACCAATGCATTTTTTAGGTTTACTAGCAGTGTCTTAACAAGCTGTTACTTTGCGATATTGTATTGATTCTCAAAATCACTGTACCGATTAGGGGTGCATACCGGTACCCGGTATTACCGAAATACCGGTTACTGGCGGCTACGGTATACCGTACCGAAATCAGATCCGGTTTTTGATACTTTTTTATTTTTTAAAGTGAGGCGTAATATCCTTAAACTCGCGCCCAAACCATCGAAATTACGATGTCAATTTCGCCGTGAAACTCCGCAAACGAGTCACTGTGGAGTCTGGGCCGCGCCATATTGTTGACATCCGCCAGTCAATCAGTTTGTGCGTCTTGCAACGGCTTCGGTGATTGGCTTGATTGCCAAGCAACGCCCTTAACCTTCCTTCCGAATGTCTGAGCCTTTCGGTTAGCTTTCGTTTTTACATTAGCTCGATGTCGGCACGAAAATCTAAAGTGTGGCTGCAAGAAGTTTATTTCTGGGAAAGGCGGCAACACATCCAACCTCTCAAAACATTTGCTACTGTCACATAAAATCAGAGTACAGGAATGTACAGTCTTCAAGCCTGTGTTGTCAAACGTGTTTTTCATTGTTTGTTCAGTACTAAAAGGTCGAAGTCCCACAATTGAATTTAATATTCATTTGACATGTTAACTATATCATGAAGCGCTTCATGGGAGTAATTGCGGGATGATTCAATTTTTCCCTTATGCAACATGAAAGTATCACGTTATGTATTGGTCGAGTATCGGTATCGTTCAGTGGTATCGGTATCGGTATCGTAAAAAAGTCAACGATAGAATAGAATAGAATAGAATGGGAGGGATGAAACCCCTCTTTAATGGTCACACATGCAGAGCACACAGCACACACAGTGAAATGTGTTCTCTGCTTTTAACCCATCCTAGTACCAGGAGTCTAGTACTAGGAGCTACCCTAGTACCGATTAAACATTTTGGCAGAATGTGTTACGTTTTATATGGACATAAAGTAACATATGGCGAAAAAGTAATGCATTTATTTATACATATTTTGAATGGGTCTTTGTACTATGACTGTTAGTCCTTATATTACATTTACTGTAGATGTTGAAATTACTTTTACTCCTTGCTCACAGTCTCGCAAAAATATTTAAATATATTGAATCGTCCTGAAACTAATCAAAATTGCCAGATTGTTGCCCAACACACTAACCATAATATCATTTCTAATATTATAATCCTAAAAACGTAGAACTTTAATATTTAGGATTCACGGATGTGAATGAGTCCGTCCTATCAGTCTGTAAGGCTAAAGCTAGCATAAGTAGCTACTAGCGAGGTGTCGCTTTTCCAATTTCCCAGCCGTTTATTATTTATACCATAACTCGCCTCTAGCTGTCATCAGTAAAGCCACTTTTAATGTTATGACTGAAGATAATTGAGTAACATCAAGTAAACAAGAAATATGAAATGCAAAATGCACAAAAAATGCAGTACAGTGATTTGGTTTGATTATATGAATGCAGAAATGAGGTACATTTGAGATAATGCACCATAACTAAAATATCATAACTTGTTGCATTATATTATACTACAGGTTTTTATTTTTATTTTCTACCAGGCTGTTTTCCTCCCCTCTCCTAACCATCCTCCCTCTCAGAAGTGAAGTTAAATCTGTACCACACGCAGGACAACTCATCCGTCAGCAGAACATCCACTGAAGAAGGGATGAACCGAGACGTCTAACTGTGCCCTTACACAAACTGATACAACATACACTCTGATGAATGATTTCAGTGCTTTGGGCTGGGTGTCTTTTCCTTTTTTTAAATGAGACTCCTCTGCCTTTGCTTCCACTCTGATCCTCCGACTAGATAAACTTCAAGTCCAAATTAAACATTTTTATTTAGATATCATACTCCTTTCTTATTTCTTCTAGTTCGTTTGCAAGAACTAAAGCATTCAGCCGTTGATCTTGATAACACTTCTGTTGGCTTCATTCAAAGTATCCGATTATCTGTGACAGCTATCACAAATTGTAATACTTTTCCACGCACACAATGTTTTATGTGTTTAAAGTTTGATGTTATTATGAGACACAGTATGAATAAGATATACTTTATTAACCCAAATTGGGATTTCTTTTGGTGTTTTTTTGTAAAACAAGTATTGCACATAATTAGAAATAAAAGAGTAGAAAATAAACAGTTATACATGAACATCTCAAAATAGAAGATAAACTAAAAGAGTGAAATTATAAAAGTTGACAGTGAGAAAAAATATGTAAACTATCGGACAGATAAAACACTATTGACTAGCTAAATTAAAGCTCACACAATATTTATTATTTTCAATGACATATTAAATTAAATATAGATGTAAAATGAACAGTGTATGAAGTTTTCAAAAATAACTTTTAATTTCATTAGTTCAACCGCTTCATAAAAATATGAGTAGACAGAACCAGAATATCATCTATTGCTTCTCCATGGTGTTCCGGTTTTTATTCAAGTGGAAAACATCCTTTTTTCTCTCCATTGATTCCAAAGCTAGGCCTTTACCGTAATCAATCTCGCCAATACTACAGCCAGAAAGTATAAGGACAATGATTTATGTTATGCTTTTGGCTCATAGTCCAGCAGTTGGATTTGCAAATGAAACAGTAACTATTAGGTCTAAGTGCTGAGAAGTGCTCAAATCTATAATAGGAGAGCTGCTCAGGAGGTGAAGCACTTTTTAGCCACGTTAGAGGCATTTCTCTAGAATAATGTCAATTGATCACTTTGCTCCACTGATATATGTAATATCTAATATAACAGGATCGTCATTCAAATGTGTACAGTTAATCAAAGTGGCCGGAGGATGAGTAATCTTGGATTTGGTGATCCCCTGACGATTCACCTAGCACCACCATGAGGCATCACATTGGTTCTGTACCTTAATACACGTCGTTTATCATCAGGACATTTGCAGTCACTACAATCTTGAAAAGCATGCCAATCTCTAGATCCCAATATTTCCTTTCTGCTTCCTAATGTTGTATCCATGGTTGTGTAGTTCAGAGGATTGAGAATCAGTGTTTCTACACATAAGATTATAGGGGAGATAGTTTGCCGACTACAAAGCTGTTTAAAAGTGGTCCACTTTGGTGTTTCTGTACAGTTTTTATATGCCTTTTGGAACTGTACTCGAGATACACAATGTACACAAAAAACAAACAAACTGGACTTTGGTTGAATTTTCCTCCGATCTAGGCTTCAATCCCTGATCTGAAAGCCTCCTTAGTTGTGTTATTTAGGACTATGCTGAAGGAAATTGATGTTATTCATACAGACGGAACAACCAAGACTTTTTTTGAAGACAGAATTTTATCGATTGGCCAAGTCAGTCACCTGACCTCCTAGCTGAGCATGTGTTGATAAAGACTAGGCAAAAAACTAAAGTATTAAAAAGTAAGAATGCTTGCAGTACAGTTGTGGAGCATCTCCAGGGAATGAATTGCTGGTGTGTGTGGGTTGTAGACTTCAGCCAGTTATTGATGCAACGGATTTGCTACTAACCATTAAATGCGATGACTTTATGTTAACTGGTCCAATAACTTTCTTTCCCATAAAAGCAGGGGGACTGTGTAAACAAGAAATGCTTTTCCTCCACCGTTCATTTGATGTAGCTGTGAACACCTTCAAAGTCATGCTTAAAGTCAGCACATTACCCTCATAGTGATGTTAAATGAGTCGAACCAAAAGCAGAGATTTCTCTGTGCTGATACATTATGATTGAATTCTTCCCTCTCTTTTTCTTCACAGTGAACTTCGACCACTTCCAGATATTACGGGCCATTGGGAAAGGAAGCTTTGGAAAGGTAATGTGACCTCCATTTTTCATACAGTGGATGTGCGTGTTCTGTTCCCTCGGTTAGCTGCAACAGTCATTATCTCCGCTGAAGAATCAGAGAGGGGCAAGCAGAACGGCTGTGAGAGATTACACTGCTATCTCATGATATTATGGTGTTTCAAAGATAAATAATCTTTCTATTTTAATAATAGTTATAACTATGGCTTATGTAACACTTTCTAAAGTCATTTAGAGGAGAGCCAATTTACTTTAAGCTAATGCCAGCCAACCTGTTGGGAGTTTTGACACCGCGTCAAAATTACAGAGCAGCACAACACTGCGGCTAAATTAGTCATCAATTGTTCACACTTCATACAGCGTGAAGGGAAACTTGGCGTGTGTGTTTTGAAACCAAATTACTGTAGTTCTTTTCAAACTGGTCTCAGTGGCCAATATCACCATTGGTGGCCATTGTTGAGAAAACTGAAATGTTGGATTAACTTTTGGGCCATTTGTTAGCTGAAGAACCCCTTTGTGTTCGCATTGAACGTGTGTGTGTGTGTGTGTGTGTGTGTGTGTGTGTGTGTGTGTGTGTGTGTGTGTGTGTGTGTGTGTGTGTGTGTGTGTGTGTGTGTGTGTGTGTGTGTGTGTGTGTGTGTGTGTGTGTGTGTGTGTGTGTGTGTGTGTGTGTGTGTGTGTGTGTGTGTGTGTGTGTGTGGAGACGCACAGTTGGGCTCCAGAGATTGGAAGAGTTTATCTTCATTTTGAATCCCAAATATCACGGCTCGTGTTTGTTCATTATACTCGTGTCTGTGAACGCCTTTGCAAAATCATTCTGCGTTGCTCTTCTCAAAACACTTTTTTTTTTCAAGAACATGTCCCTCTGTTATAAGGGAAGTCATTGCCTAATGCTGAATACATTACCATGTGAATTTATGTAAATTCCTACTTATTGCTTTGTTCCCTCAAGCTGCTGCCACTTCCCTTATGATACTGAAGGGAATCTGCAGTAAGCCTGGAAACACACTGCATGCAGGCCTAGCTTCAGGGAAAGGCAACCTCATTTTTTGAACATTAGATTATTTACACTACATTTCATTTTTGGGGGAAATAAATGCCATATTGAAACGCATGTTCATTCATGTTTATGGTTCTTAAATGCAACATAAAGAGCTTGAAATAAGCTGCTCTCCTGGCTAAGATAGATGCTCTTCAAAAAACATCATGAATGTGACAAAAAAAGTTTCAGTATCAAAGTCTTTTTAGGACATTTTCCCCTTGGGAAGCCAAGTGCTTCTTCCAAATGTGTCCCCCACTCATGCAATATCTGTAACACAGTCATGTTCGCACAGCTTTTATGGAGACGCGTGGATGCACACTCAGGCAGGCAGATGCTCACAGGGATGTCCTGATAAAGTTTGTCCTTGTTGGAGGTCATCCTGTCTGATTTCCGGCCCACTGAGGCATCACTCTGTCTTCCTGCTGTTTCTGAATACTTAGCAGCATGAGCCCTAATCTCTGCACTGAAGCCTGTGTGGGTTTGTGTAAGTGGGGATGTAGTAAAGAAGATGGGTAAACAAGACTGTCAATTGTGTGTAAAAAGAACACATGTTATTTTAGGATTTCCATCCATTTCTAAACCAAAATGTATAGCGTCAACTGGATATTATAGAGTGGTGTAGGAATAAGCCCTAAACCCTTGAAAATAGTTAGCATTTTACTGCTTCCTGTTCCCTCGTCTCAAAGTCAATGTTTTTTTGAAATTCTTTTGATTAGATTCCTAAAATAAGATCTATGATTTACACATACATCAATAAATAACCCACTCGTGAATGTCCAAAGCTTCTGTGTCATAACAACATTGGTTGCTAACAAGTGTCTAAACGAGATTACTAAACGTCATCACAATATTAGCCACCTTTAGCTTAGCAGTGTTGATGTGAAGTCATGTGACCAGGCTGTAGTTCCTTTGTAGCCTAACGTTAGCTTTTGACTTCTGGCGATTTCATTTTGTTTCAAAAATCATACGTATGAATCTGTGAGACTGACCGTTGAGCGGCCCAGACCAAGCAAGGAGGCAGAGGCAGAACGTCCAAAATATAACCCGGTGTGGGCATTTATTACAATCATAAATGCATGACACAGCCTCAATCTGCTGTCCACGTGAGCACAGTCTGCAGCCACAAGGATCTCACCCCACAAAACAGGAAACACAGAGCCTAAATACCCACATGTGCAATCAAGCCAACAAGACACAGGTGAGGGGGGAAGAGACAACACAGGGCACCAGGTGAACATAATGTAATCAGGAGCAACAGACAAAACGGGAGGGGGAACACTTTCCAAACACAAACATATAACTGAACAGAATAACACACATACAAACCCAACTAAACACAGTCAGCACTTGTACAATTAATGCCACTTAACGTTATGATTTCCACACCCTCAACATATTATTTGCACCCTGATCATTCTTAACCGCTGTCATTCTACACCAGCAAACACTTTCGGCGCTCTCGGTAACTCCCCTATCTTTTCAAGGCGGAGCCGAGGACCCGACCAGCATCTGCCCGACGACATTTCAATTAATACGGTTTAATCCTTTAATAAATACTATCTCAATAATTAGTATAAATTATATAAAATGTGCAAATATGCCATGCCAAACGGTACTGTGCAATCACGCTAATAAAGTGCAAACTGTTCACTAAAGTGCTGAGTTACAAGGCCCCGAAGCCGTCAGTCCACAGTGACGAAGTTACCTTCGTCACTGAATCAGAATCAGAATCAAGTTTATTGCCAGGTATGTTTACACGTACGAGGAATTTGCTTTGGTGTCTGGTGGTGCGGACATAAACTATCTAAAAAAACAAGTTGCAAAGTAGGTAATACAAAATAGAAGTATTTTTAAGAATCAATTTAGCATTAAAAAAGGTATTTACACCAAATGTAAATGTAACTATACAAATAACCTTAAAAGCTAAAAAACAAAAAAAACAACACAAGCACTTAGGAAAATGAGTATATATTATAAAGTGGAGGGCTGTGCAGACATGTGTGTAAAAATGTGCAGAAAGCAGAAAGATGGTGTTAATATGTGAAGATTATCCTGCTGAACAAAACATGTGAGAATGATAAATGTGTGTTTGCCACAGAGATATTCAGAAATCCTGTGGAAAAATCCTGTTGCTTTTCGTCGGGGGAGCCCGTGCAACTTACTGGTCGGCCTACAAAAATATGTTATCATTTTACTATTATTATTTACTCTATGAAATGTAGCTATAAACATTTTATAGTAGTGTAAAATGTAGATAAACCCTTTATAAAAAAAAACACAACACAAGAAAGATTAGGATATAAAGAACATGAAGAACAGAAGAGAGTATTTACCTCACACTGTAGTGCTGTGAAACATGACCTTGTGTTGGTGCTCTAGGAAAATGGGCTCTTTGCTGTGCAGTTCTGAAGGTGTGTGTGTGTGTGTGTGTGTGTGTGTATGTGTGTGTCTTTCACATTTGATAATGTGTTGTGTAGGGCTCGTTCTTGCACAGTGGGTACTTGTGTGGTAGGTTGTGGCAAAGAAATAAAAGGCTGTCAGAGGGGGAAGCAGAGGAAACCTGTAAAAGGTTTATTCTGCTGTCAAATTCCCCTTACTATCTCTTTTTTCTTAAACGTACAGTTTTAGGGTATCCATCTTTCTCTCCCACTCTACTGCTCAGGCCCTATCAACAGAAGAGCTTCTCTCTATGGCATGTTCCTCTCTCAGCCAGATGCTGCACAGCTCAAAGTGCACGACAGGTGCTGGGTTGCAATGTTCACACTTTTAGTTAAGTGTCCAAATGCAATGTATAACATAATGCAATGCACTTAGAGTTCCTGAATGGTGCACTCATAATGGTTGAGAAGTTGAGTGTGGAACGTCAGACACTTCCCTCACACAACCATCACCATGTTACCATCAGCTGGGATAAGGTTGAAGACGTTATACATGTGCGTTTTGTTTCACTGTTTAATAAAACATGCCACTATACTTGTGTTGAAAATAAGCCATTGTTAACTATGTTGGGTGTATAGAGAAGTCTGGAATGATTCGCTTACGCAAATGATAGCAAGCTAGCCACTTATGGCTAACAGGAACAATGGTCACTTCCGCTAAGGGCACAGCAGCAGTGTGCGATTCCAGTTAACAACTTTGGTCAGAATTCAAGTGTTCTCAGTGTATGACATGCAGTGCGCTAAGGGAGGAGTGTAATCATATTTGCTTTGGGTGGCACAACATTTTCAATTTGACACCACAGATTCTGTGAAAAAATGTTTCCTTTTGATGTCCTCTGGCATCTCCAGTTTACTGATTGACATAAGGCTTTACTTGTAGCTAAAGAAGCACTAACCGCTAACTGCTAGCAGAGGAGCTTAGGACAGCTCTGATATGCAGGAGCGTTAGATAAGTTGTAACTTGTTAGTTTGTGATCACAAGTAATGTAATCATGACACAACATAACATGTCCACTTTTACATATGTGTATGAGTGAAATGTTCTGAGTCTGTAGGTGGGCCAAATCACAAAAATAACATAATTGTTGCATAATGTTGCTTTTAGTAATCTATTCAGACCAGTTGCATTTTCAGGTTTCACTTTCTTCTTCTGCTAAACGTGAATCGACATGCTTTAAACTCAGAGAGAAAGTTGTGATAACACAGTCTGTACGAGCATTTCGTTTATTCCCTTTCAGAGTTTCTTCTTATTGCATTCTGCAAATGACTTTCCCCTCTTTCCTATTTCTATGATATATCACCACAGGAACCTCTCTCCTCCCTCCTCTCCTTTTATATCATCCCTACTTTCTCTCTATCCCCCACTGTTCCTCTCGCAATTCATTTCCAGGGTGATTTATGGGCTCGACAGTAAAGAAACCTGTGTTGGAAATCAGTGTAGTATTATTAAGAATAAAATATGGCATTAATATTGTTTGAAATCCCACTCCAAGCCTGTTTTGAGCATCTCTCCCCTACCAGGTGGGTGTG